ATACCACTCGCAGGGCCCCGCAGGCCCATGGCGGTGTCTTCTGGTCAGTAAAGTGAGTCATAAACACTAGAGCTGACCACCAAATTTCAACATTGCCGAATCCAGAAAAACCAGGATTTCCAGCTCTTCAGAAACATCCAAGATCCGGCCACACAGAATCTGCACTTCCCAGGGCAGTGCCTGGCAGCGGCCCCAACAGGCTGTGGGCCCAGGACACAGGGCACATGTCCACCCCACAGGGTCCCACAGCTCCGCCCTCCCCACAGGACACAGGGCACATGTCCACCCCACAGCTCTGCCCTCCCCACAGGACACAGGGCACATGTCCACCCCACAGGGTCCCACAGCTCCGCCCTCCCCACAGGACACAGGGCACATGTCCACCCCACAGCTCTGCCCTCCCCACAGGACACAGGGCACATGTCCACCCCACAGGGTCCCACAGCTCTGCCCTCCCCACAGCAGCCCCCACCAGGCCATGCAGACACTGGGTTCCAACGGAGGCTACAGGGTCATGGCCAGGACTTGTGAGGCCCCTCTGGGTCCCGAGGGTTTCCTCCGCTGGTGTCCTCTGCATCCTCAGCTGCTGGCCACGTGGACCCAGGCTGCAGTACCCCCTCCTCAGGCCTCCCCACCAGCCTGGACTTCCCCATTATGGGGCAGCCGCTGCTCAGCTCAGAGGCTCCGGCACAGACGGCCCCTCCCCACTCCCTCAGGCCACTGAGGTCAGACCCCGACACAGCTCTGTACTCACGGCCCCCTCAGTAACCGCGGTTCGGGGGAGGAGGGGGGCTGAATGTGGAAGTGGGCAGGAGCCTATTTACATCATTACCGTCCCCCACGCATGACAGCGGAGATGTCTGAAGGCAATTCAGCCAGGTGCTGCAGCCAGGACTCAGCTGCTCGATGCCCTGGCCTCCCATGAGCAGAACACAAGCACCTGACAGCCACGCGGAGGACTCTGGGCTGACCCACGCTCCCTCACGGGTCCCCAGGCCACGCAGAGAACCCTGGGCTGACCCACGCTCCCTCGCGGGTCCCCAGGCCACGCTGAGAACCCTGGGCTGACCCACGCTCCCTTACGGGTCCCCAGGCCACGCAGAGAACCCTGGGCTGACCCACGCTCCCTCATGGGTCCCCAGGCTGTGCAGAGGACGCTGGGCTGAACCACTCAGCCTCACAGGTCCCCAGGCCACACAGAAGACGCTGGGCTGATCCAGGCTCCCTCATGGGTCCCCAGGATGCCTATCCTGAGGATGGGTGCCCCCCAGGAATGAGCCGAGGGAGGTCTTGACCCCTCCCGCGCTGGCCCACACAGTAGCCTTGTGTGGGGGGATCTGGAGGCCAGCACCCCCCATGCTGAGCACAGGCAGGCCCCTCCGTCCAGGCCTCAGACGGGTGGACAGGAAGCTCAGGAACAGACGCCCGGGTCTCCCGTCAGGTCAGAGAGCAACAAATCCTGAGCGGAGCCTAGCACAAACCCCGTTTGCAGAATAAATCACGTAAGACACACGCTCATCTGTTTAAATTACCAAGGCTGATACTGTTATAAAAAATAGTGGCATGGCACTTTTTATTTTCTTTAATCATAAAAATAAACCCTGTGCTTCTGGGATGGAGGCCCCAGGTGAGCACCGGAGGAAGGGGCCTGGGTGGGCGGGGAGTGAGGGGCCTTGGGACCAGAGCGGGTGCTGCCCCAGAGCCTGGCCGGGACCCAGGAGGGCCTGTGGGGGACGCATCCTCGTGAGCAAGCGCGGGGGCCAGAGGTCCGCAGCTGCCTGCTGGAAGCCAGGGACTCCCACCCGCCTTCCTGACACCTGCAGCTGCCCAGCTGGGAGTGACCAGGCCTTCAGGACCAGGGCCTCCCGTCACTTGGCGCAGGGGTGCATAGGGCCAACACTGCTCTCTGGAAGGCCCCTGGCTGCAGCCGCCCAGCTCCCCTGTGGTCTGGAGAAAGTCAGAGGCCCCTCCAAACGCCCCTTTCCTTTTGGGCCAGTGGCGTGCCTCGGGCTCCAGAAGACTCGAGTGGGGCTGCCTTGAGACCAAGACCAGGGGGTGGCAGCCCCTGACCACTGGTGGGGGCTGTGGAAGGGCGGGGATGGGCCAGGAAGAGCCTTGTAGTGTGAGGTCTGCTGACTGCACACAGGTCAGCAGCTGGACAGGACGCTGCAGGGCACTCTGGGAAGCCGGGAGAAGGGGCTGCCTCCCCTTTGGACTCCCCCTCGCCTGGAGACCCCGCAAGCACCCCTTCAGTGTGCACCCACGGGGCAGGGAAGGCAGAGTCCTGAGAGGTGGGGGTGGGAGCCTCCGGGCCCCCTGCAGCTCCTGACCCATCCGATGGGTCCGTGCGGCCCCTGCCGCCTGGGGACCCTGGAGGTGGGCAGCAGCACCACCTGACTGCAGGGGAAGGGGCTAGACTGAAACCCACAACTTCAGCATTCATCACCGGGATTCGCCTGAGGGCTGATGAACTGCACTCTGGCCGATGGGGTGCGGCCCATGAAGAGCCTGCAGCCAGCACTCCACATCCTCCCGCCCAGCACAGCACTCGGGCTGGCACCCACTCCACGCACACACCACGCTCACGCTCTGCACGCTGGCACACCCGGGACAAGCGTGCAGGCAAGGACAGTACTGGCATGGAGAGGCACAGAAAGACACTGAGGGGCCCCAGCAAGCTCCCGGCCCTCCCAGGGCACACAGCACAGGCAGCACACGCGGGTGGGGGCTCTGTGACACCAGTGGGGGGACGTGGCGGGGCGGCAGGAAGACGCCAGGTCCCTCTCTCCTCCCGGCGTGGCGGGCCTCGGCCTGATCACAGCACTGCAGGGCTCCCACTTCCAGCTGAGCCTCAACTTCCAACAGCAAACAGCCCGGCCCTGTCTGAAGGCCTAGGGCTAATCCAGCAAAGCATCTCTGGCCCGAAGGGCGAGGCGGCCTTGGCCCCGGGGGCCCTGCCAGGGTGCAGCTCACACGGGGGTGGCCTGGAAAATTCATCCGGGGAGGTGCCCACAGGCATCAGGCTCCAGGGCTCACAGATGGGGCCTGGCGGGCCACCCCGGGGGCACAGGATCGGGTCCACCGTGACCTCAGGGGCCGGCAGGGATGGCCCAGGGCCAGGAGTGAGAGCCGGGGCTGCCAGGCTGGCACCAGATCCAACAGGGAGCGCCGCGGCTGGCACAGGGGCCCCAGGAGAGGCCGGCAGGGTGGGCCTGGCTGCCCCAGGAGTGGAGGGCGGTCGGGAATGGGGAGCAGCGGCTGGGGCTTGCAGGGCTTGCTGGGGCCCATGAGCGGCCGCGGGGGCTGGCAGGGCTGCTCCGGGCCCATGAGCGGTCGCTTGGGTGGGCAGGGCTGCTCCAGGCCCATGAGCGGCTGCTTCTGCTGCCTCGGCCGTCTGGGGCCCAGGAGCGAAGGCGTGAGTGGGCCGGGCTGCTCTGGGGCTTCCACTAACTGCTGGGGCTGCCTGAGGCGTGGCAGTAACCGCCGCGGGCGACCGGGCTGGCCCAGCAGGGACCTTCGGGGTTGGCCGTACTGACACGGCACTAGGAAGGCCCGCCGGGGGCGGCAGCACTGTCCCGGTAGGAAGCCGGAGGGCCGGCGACGAGGTCGGAGGGTGAGGAGCGGCCGTGGGGGCTGGTACCGCTGGCACTGGGCCAGCAGGGAGCGCAGGCGCCGGCAGCGGTGCCGCGGGGCCAGGAGGAAGCGCAGGCGCCGGCAGTAGAGGCAGGGGACCAGCAGGGAGCGCGGGGCCAGCAGGGAGCGCGGGCGCCGGCGGTGCTGGCACGGGGCCAGCAGGGAGCGCGGGCGCCGGCAGCACGGCCTGGGGCCTGGCAGTGCCCAATGCGGCCGGCAGGGCGGAGCCAGGCAGGACCGCTGGGGCTGGCAGAGCTGATCTGGGGCTGGAAGGAGCCGCTGGGGCCGGCAGGGCTGCCCGGGGCCCAGAAGTGACCGCCGGGGATGGCCGGGCTGTTTCGGGCCCAGAAGTGACCGCTGGGGCCAGCTGCGCTGACCCAGGAGTGGCCGCTGGGAGGGCTGGCAGGGCTGCCCGGGGTCCGGGAGTGCCGACAGGGCTGGGAGGGACCCCTGGGGCTGGCTGGGCTGGCTGGGCTGGAGCTGTTGCTGGCGCTGGGCCGGGCCGTTCTGGTCCCAGTGGCTGGCTGGGAGCGGCCCCCCTTCTGGGGAGCACACCTGCATGGAAGAAAGAGCACGTGTCCACCTGGGCAGGTGTGCCCACAACCCCGTCCAGCCCAGGCCCAGGAGGCATGCTGCCCTTCTCCAGCAGCCCTATTCCCAAGGGGGTCGAGGGGAGCCTAGGACACCGCACCGAGCCCACCTCAGAAGGAAGGCGCACACCAGCGGACCCCTGCGGAGGAAGCAGCTGCAGGCTGAGCCGCACCCAGGACAGAGCCCCACTTGCTGGGGAGGCCCCAGGCCAGCACCCACCTGCTCTGACAGCCCCTCCTGGGCAGGAAGGCCCCCGGGCAGGGCAGGTAGGGCCCTGTTCCCAGCTGGGCCACGCACCTGACCACTGACCACAGTCATGTGCCTGCGGCCACCGCCGGAACCAAGCATTGCCCTCCCCATGCCACACGCGTTAGCGGATGGCGCTACGTGTGAGCAGAACAGCCTCGGCAATGAGTCTGGACCCCTCCTGAGAGACACGCTGGACACCTGTAGTCGGCGGAGCCTGATGGACACAGCAGGGAAACGGGGCCGGCCTATCAGCTTGGCGCCCCAGCCCCGCACGCGCGCCTCGATGCCCCCAGACAGGCACCTCTCCCACTGTGGCCCTGGGCCAGTCACGGCCCCTCAGCGGCCTGGCCGGCTCCTCTGCTCGGCCCCAGCCCCATCCACGAGACCCGAGCCCCAGGCCTGACAATGACGGGGCGCTGCCAGGCAGGCCCAGGGGCTACGTGGGGGGTGCCCAGGTGCTGGGGTGACCCCGGGGCGGTGAGCACTGACCCAGTGAGAAGCTCCCGGTGGAGGAGGGGCCTGCTCACCTGCTTGGAGGCCTGCAGCAGGACCTTCCTGGCTCCATCGCAGGCGGGCTCCAGGTCCTGCCCGGGGCTGCCGGCCTCCAGGGGTCGCCTGTTCTCACTGGGCTCCGCCGCGGGGCAGTTCTCCGACTCCCGGGGCTTCTTGACCAGGCGACGTTCCCACTTCTCCTTCCGCTCATGTGGCTTCAGGGCCATATCCTTCTGCACGGAAACATGGAGAGGCCGGTTAATTGGCTAGACCCCAGGACCCCGGGCCCAGGACAGCCCCGGGCCGCACCCCACCTGAGCAGCTCTCAGGGGAAGGCGCCTCCAGCCTGGGGAGAAGCACCTCAGAGGGAAAGGACGACAAACAGGTGGGACGGCTGCTGCGGGTGGGAGGACGGGAGCGTTTCTCAGGACTCAGCCAGCAAAGGACCAGACAAAAAGTTCAGCCCAGCAGAGAATCTCCAGCAAGCTCCAAAGAAGGCTGGCCTGGGGCTACCCAGGACTATGTCTCTGAGCGCACTGACTCCAGGGCTGCCTTTCAACACTGCGAGCACACTCTATAGCAGGGGCCAGTTACCACAGGAGCCTCTCCAGGTGACACCCACGCCCCACAAGAAGTGCTCCCACAGGCAACACCCCACAGGAAAAGCTCCCCTAGGAGACTCCCCTCGGGAAATGCTGCCCCAAGAGACTCCCCACGGGAAAGGCTGCCCCAGGAGACTCCCCACGGGAAAGGCTGCCCCAGGAGACTCCCCACGGGAAATGCTGAACCAGGAGACTCCCCACAGGAAATGCTGAACCAGGAGACTCCCCTCGGGAAATGCTGAAGCAGGAGACTCCCCACGGGAAATGCTGAACCAGGCAACGCTGTATTCCAGACGGCCTGAGGGGATGCAGCCAGTGCTCCAGGATAGGTCTGTGGATTTGGGCCAGAGATGCTTCCTCATGCTCACCTTTGGGCTATGAGACCCTGGGGACACCCCCAGGCCCCCCGTAAACCTGCTGGCTTCCCCTGGTTCCCTAGTCACCCTCTCAGCCCATCTGGACTCCTTCAGAGCACCAGACTGTATAGTCTTCAAGCAGCCTCCAGGACATTGCAGGCCCCTGCCCTGCTGGTGGGCATCGGGCAGCCCCAGGTTCTGGGGTCCCTACCTCTGCACTCAATAAACCAGTAATAAGCACCTTCAGGATGCTGGCTTGGCTCCTGGCACCAGGGCTGGCACAGACTGATATAGCACATCAAATTTAGGGTCCAGAGGAGCCAGCTGGCTAGACAGAAGTGTCCACAAAAGGACAGAATCCTCTCGGGGAGGGCGCAGCTGTGAGGAAAACAGCAGCAGCAATGCCCAGGGACAGGACCCACGTCAGAGCTGCTGGCAAGGACCAGGGGACACCACTAGGGAGGACCTGTACTGGCACAGGGCCATGGGTGTCCCTGGGGAGGAGGATCCGCCCCCACATAGAGACACAGGCGTCCCTGGGGAGGAGGACCCGCCCCCGAGTAGAGACACGGGTGTCCCTGGGGAGGAGGACCCGCCCCCGAGTAGAGACACAGGCGTCCCTGGGGAGGAGGACCCGCCCCCGAGTAGAGACACGGGTGTTCCTGGGGGGAAGGACCCGCCCCCACATAGAGACACAGGCGTCCCTGGGGAGGAGGACCCGCCCCCGAGTAGAGACACGGGTGTCCCTGGGGAGGAGGACCCGCCCCCGAGTAGAGACACGGGTGTCCCTGGGGGGAAGGACCTGCCCCCACATAGACACAGGCGTCCCTGGGGAGGAGGACCCGCCCCCAAGTAGAGACACAGGTGTCCCTGGGGGGAAGGACCTGCCCCCACATAGAGACACAGGCGTCCCTGGGGAGGAGGACCCGCCCCCGAGTAGAGACACGGGTGTTCCTGGGGGGAAGGACCCGCCCCCACACAGAGACACGGGCGTCCCTGGGGAGGAGGACCCGCCCCCGAGTAGAGACACGGGTGTCCCTGGGGGGAAGGACCCGCCCCCACACAGAGACACAGGCGTCCCTGGGGAGAATGACATACCCCTGCATAGGACCACAGGCGTCCCTGGGGGGGAGGATCCACCCCCCGAGTAGAGACACAGGTGTCCCTGGGGAGGACGACCTTGGCTGACCCTCCAGTAAGAACAGAGGACAGTGACAAGGACCATGGTGGTACTGGCCGCCCCCTCCCCAGCCACACCCTCCCCTGCTGGGTGCCCTCTCCGCGACCCAAGTGCCATCCCCACCAGTCAGAGCTGGAGGCCCTGAGAGGCCCAGCAGCGTTCCCGGGCCCTGCCTACAACGCTTGGTCCTGGTGCTCCAGCTCCAGGCAGCCTCGTGGGCTGAGCCAAGGCCTCCCTGACTTCCGGAGGGCCAGCTCCCCCAGTGCTCTGCACAGAGCTGCCACTCAAGGCCCGGGGTCCTGCTGCAAGCAGCCTGTTCCGGCACAAGCCTGAGAGCCCAAGGCCGCCAGAGCTCCTGCCTGTTCACCCGGGGTCTCTCAGGGTCTCTGGTCCCAGGCGCTGTGCACCCAACAGTTCCCAGTCCTGCTGGGCTCTGAGAGTCTGATCCTGGCTCAGACTGCAGCTGAGAGAACAGCTGTTTGCAGCACTGGATCAAAAGTAGGAACAAATCAAGGAGTGACCTCTCACAGCAACTACGAAACGTGCAAGGGTGGTGTGCCACATGGAGACCACGGAGCTGGAATCTGCCTTTCTGGTGGGGGGAAGAGTCAGAGGGGATGGGCGAGGGCAGCTCTGAGGGCCACAGCAGCAACCTCAGTGCCGGGCACTTTGCTAAGAGGAAGGTCAGGCCCCGATTCTCTCCCTTTTTTTTTTTTTTTTTTTTTGAGATAGAGTCTCACTGTGGTTCCCAGGCTGGAGTGCACTGGCATGATCTTGGCTCACCGCAACCTCCACCTCCCAGGTTCAAGCAATTCTCCTGCCTCAGCCTCCCGAGTAACTGGGACTACAGGCACACACCACCACACCCAGTTAATTTTTTGTACTTTTAGTACAGATGGGGTTTCACCATGTTGGCCAGGCTGGTCTCGAACTCCTGACCTCATGTGATCCACCCACCTCGACCTCCCAAGTGCTGGAATTACAGGCATGAGCCACTGCGCCCGGCCTGGGCCTTGCTTATCTGATCCACACACACAGGACCCCACGAGTTGGTCGCAGAGACCACCCCAGTGTCAAATGACACACAGAAACGGAGAGGTCTGGAAAGGCTCCAAGAGCTGTGTCCCCAGCACCACCACCACGCAGCTCAGCCCCTGGGCGCCAGCCAAGGCCTCCTCAGGCCACGCCCCAACTGCAGGAAGCCCGCTGGGCTGAGGCAGTGGAGGCCTGAACCCCCCCGGACGGGTCTTCGGTGCACGCCTGGGTCAGCACACATGGCACCAAGTCTGCACACTCAGGGGCCCTCCCTGAAGGCGCCTCTACCCTGCGGGGGCGCCAGCACCCCCAGGAGTGGCCAGGCCCCCAGACCTCCGCACTCCCCTCCCGGGAGGACCACCAGGGCTGGGAGCAGGTTGTCATGACATGGCTGGTTAGACAGATTTTCCTGACTCATTTTTATGTGCCTGCTTTTGGCTCTCAGTATCATCACTACACAGCAACGCTAACGTTTCTAACTGCACTACAGCAAACCAGCCTCGGAGAGAGAAAGTGATTCCACCTCAGCACACAGAGCCCTGCAGCCAGGGGCCGCCTCCTGCTCCTGGAACCACACCTGGGGCCTCTCCTCTCCTTGTCCCCAGGCAGGAGGCTCTAGAGAACCGCTCACCCAAGACCTCACCCCTGGCAAGCCCCTCTGCTTCCTTCCCACCCTGACTGATGACCACATCCCCTGGGCAAAGCCAGGCCTGCAGTCCGCCCCGGGAGGGGGGGGGGGGCGCGGTTTCTGGGATAGGACAAAAGCCGCTCTCCTTCGAGGGAGGAGGCCATGGGAGCCCCCCAGGATCTTCTGGGATGAGATGGAAGCCGCTCTCCATTAGGAGAGGAGGCTGTGGGGGCCTCCGCAAGGGTCTTCTGGGATGGGATGGAAGCCGCTCTCCATCGGGGGAGGAGGCTGTGGGGGCCCCCACAAGCATCTTCTGGGATGGGATGGAAGCCGCTCTCCATCGGGGGAGGAGGCTGTGGGGGCAGCCCCAAGAGTCTTCTGGGATTAAATGGAAGCCACTCTCCATTAGGGGAGGAGGCTGTGGGGGCTGCAGCTGCTCGGCTCCCAGAAGCTTGCTGGCTCCACCTTCATTAGGACTGTCTCTGTCATTCCAAGAGCCCAGGCCCAAACCTCAGAGTCTCTGCCTCTCAACCGTGTCCAGTCTGGGTGTGAACCCCACAGCTGTCCCTGCAGAACACCTGAGCATCTAGCACCCAGCTGGGACAGCTGCCTCCCATACCTGGGGCCCACAGTGGCCTGTACCCCGCCATCCCCTCTGCCGTGGGTTAAAAGCTAAACAGAAGCCGGTGCATGAGGCCCTACAGGCAGCCCCACCGACGGCCCCGTGTTGGGACTGTGTCTATTTGTCCCTCCAGCTGAGAAGGTGGGAAGGGGCTTCTCCCACCATGACCCGTCTGCCCCTTGGCTCACACCCACCTGGTGAGCAACAGCCCCCACGTCTGCCCCTTAGTCCAGGGCATCCCACATCCAATGTCACCTTGGCCAGTTTTTTCTCATGGGGACCCCATGTCATGCACCTGAGCGACGGCCCTGGCAAGCCTTGCTGACACCTCGCTTGTTCCAGAGGCCTCCGGACCCTGCCTGGCTGCTCCCATGGCCTCCAGGCAGGATGTGGTCCCACAGGCTTTCGGGATGTGGTCCTGCAGTGACCAGGAGCCGGGCTGCCCCTGCAGGGCCCCCACCAGCACGATGGCTGCCACCGCCTCTCAGTGGCAGCTGAGATTGCCAACCACCCGGTGACAGCTGGTGGCTGCACTCCAGAGGCAGGGAGGCACGGTCAGGACCCCCGGGGTGGGGTGAGAGGCAGGGCAGTGTGAAGCCACCCCGGGGAGCTGTGGAGGCTGTGACCTGGCCCTGGAGACAAGTCAGAGACCAAGGCCACCGGTGACGGTGCCATAGAGAACAGCAGGGCTGCTCAGGAAGAAGCGGTGAATACAGGGGGGCGAGGCAGGTGGACAAGAGGAGGTGGGGACGGGGGGGCAGGCGGGAACAGCAGGGTCCTGCACATCGAGCCCCTCAGGGCCCTGCTGTA